GACTTTAGGCGTCAAACTCTGAGTAGAATGAATATACTATAAGGTAGCACCTAGGTGATGCTATGTAACTTACTATGGTCATTAAATAGGCATTTTTAAATATGCTTTTTAATTTCAAGAAAAGCACTTTTAGCTTTAATAAATCAAAGAAATGCTAAGGAACTTTGCTCAAAACTTAAAGCCAGGAAACAGGTTAGGATTTTGTTCCAATAGTAGGTACGTGAACCTATCAGCAGTTCAAGACAGGACAAAAATCCTTAAAACCAGAAAACAAAGCCTAGAAGAAAATCAGCAATGTTTTAGTCAAAAGTCATAAAATTCTATTGCAGCAGTTCAGTCTCATGTAATCTATCTTCTGTTGTGGTCCAATTTTCCTGATAATATTCTGGGATATAATATTCAACTCTAGACTTGTCCCTATGATTAAGTTGGCCGTTTTCTTAGTTTTTAAACTATTTCTGTGTGTCTGTATTTAATTTTTCTGCTATAGCACTCCCTTGAGAACTTCTTGGAGATCTGGTCTGGTGCTGGTAAATTCTTTCAGGTTTTGTTTATCTGAGAATGTTCTTGAGAGGTATGTTGTTATCCTGATGGGATATCCTTTATAGGTAACTTGATGTTTTTCTCTTATCAATCTTAGTATCTTCTCTTTGCCTGTGGTTTTGGTCAATCTGGCTATAATGTGTCTCGGAGAAGATCTTGTGTTGATTTTATTTGGGGTCCTTTGTATTTCTTGGGACTGGATCTTTGAATACCTCTCTAGGTTTGGAAAGTTTGCTTGCTGGATTTCATGGAATAGATTATCAATGCCATTATGAGTCTGCTCGCCTTCTAGGATACCAATTATCCATGTTTGAATGTTTAATGGTATCTAGTATTTCTCGTATATTATTCTCATTTTTGGGGGGCAAATTTTTCAGTCTTTGTGGTGGATTTTTCTAGGCCAGCGATTTTATCTTCTACACCTGAGATTCAATTTTCTATATGATCTAGTCTGCTTTTAATACTTTCAAGGGAGATTTTGACTTCCTGTATGACAGCCTTCATCTCTAACAGGTCTATTTGATTCTTTTTACAGTTTGTATTTCCTCTTTTAGATCTTGTGAGAGTTTCTTCACCTCCTGGAACTCATCAGCTCCTTTCTCCTTTCTCTTCTGCAGTTCATTGTCTCTCTTCTCCTCCATCTCTTTTAGCTTTGTCATTACAAATATTCTAAATTCTTTATCAGACATTTCCATGATTTCCATTGAACTGTCTGTGGATGAAGAGGAGTTATTCTTTTCTCTTGGAGGAGAGGTATTTTCTTGCTTCCCCATATTTCTTGTGGCCCTGTGGTGATTTCTAGTCATGATGGATGGTGTGTTTCTTCCTAATTCTTGAAGTTCAGTCTGAGCATTCAGAGGCATGCAGGAGGAGGTGATCTGCAATCTCTCTTCCATTCTGTTTTCACTCTTTATGCTTCAGATCGAGTGAGAATAGAGGAATATTCTGACCCTAATCATATTCAGATGTTTGGATCCTGTTCACTTGGACCTGTCTAGACACTTAGTGCATAGAAGCTGAGCAGCCAATGAATAAAGATAAAGAAAGGAAAAGAATTAGAGAAGAGGAAAGAAGAAGAAAACATAAATTTAAAAAGGAGACAAAAATGATAAAAAAGACTTTAGATTTTAGGTTTTGTTTTGTTTTGTTTTTTGAGAAGTTTTTGCTATAGGGGCGCGTGCGCTTGCCAGACAGACAGAGACAGAGAGACAGAAAGCGAGAAATCATCCCCCAGGGGTGATGGCCACACCGCAATCCCTTCTCCTCCATTCTCCTCTCGGGATCCTGGCCACACATGCACACACGCCCAGCGTGAGTCCAAACCACCAGGTCCAGGACTCAAACTGTGGTTGACTACGCAGGAGTCCAGCGACATAGCCATTACGCTAACTGCTGTTCCCTTGTGCCTTTCCTAAATGGAATGGAGAAAGGCACCAATTAGCACAATAAAGGAGGAGCTTGAAAGACCAGAGAATACTTTACCTTGAAAAAAAATAATTAAAAGTCTCGGAGACACAGAGAGACAGAGAGACAGAGGTATCCCTTCCCACTAGAAATGAATCTAGAGGGAGACGTCTCAGCAGAAAATCTTCATTTTTAGTCAAGGAAAGCAGTATTTAACAGCTCAAGTTCAGTATCCATCTCAGGATCCCTATCCACTGTTTTATGGGTCCAGCTCACCTTTTGGCTTTCACTGAGTCATAAACCTACCAGATCACTAAATTTAAACTTAACTTATTGATTAAAACAAAAAATTGTGGCATACCACTATCACATTTGATTACATAAACACCTAGAGCCACCTTCTTTTAAAAAAATGTTTTAAAGAATTATTTATTTAATTTTATTTATTTTTATTATTTTAAATCTGACCAGAGGGAGAAAGAAACAAAGTGGGAAAGCAAGCCACCAGATCCGGTACTTGAACTGTGGTCAGCCATGTGGGAGTCTAGCTCCTCAACCACCATGTCATTTGCCGGCCCCAGAGCACTTTCTTTTTTTATTTTTTTAATTTTTTTTTTTAGAAGTTTTTGCTATAGCGTGCGTGCACTTGCCAGCCAGACAGAGAGAGACAGAGAGACAGAAAGCGAGAAAACACTCAGGGGATGGCCATGCCGCAATCCCTTCTCCTCCATTCTCCTCTCGGGATCTTGGGCACGCATGCACACGTGCCCAGCGTGAGTTTTAAGCCACCGGGTCCGGGATGCAAACCATGGTTGACTACGTGGGAGTCCAGCAACATAGCCATTATGCTAACTGCTGGTCCCCAGAGCACTTTCTTCAACACTTGTGGGAATTGTTGGGAAATTGTCGATTTAATAATTTCCTTGATTGAATAGAAGATAGTTCCTGAAGAATTTTAAATTATGTTGCCATTTTCCTATTATTGATACAATAATTACTTAGCGTCCCCATCCTATAGTATTTCTTTTTCTCCTATTCTGTGAATATACCATGGAGTCTACTTGTGAATAAGCCATTAAATTATTTACAGTCATCGAGTGTAATATGTGGATAACTCTGACAACTCATTTGGAAAGTTTTTAGCAGAATTTATTGTAATGTATTTACTAGGGGTTTCAGCTTAAATATGACCATAATGTATGTCTTTTTAACCTTTTTTGTTGTGAACTATAACACATATAGAAAAGTACATAAAACAGGGATGTCCACTTTAACAAGTTATTATAAAGCAGATATCAGTGGAACTTCCATAGCAGGGCCAGCAGGTGGCATGGTCATTAAGGCAGCTGGATTCCCACATAGCTGACCATGGTTCGATCCCAGACCTGGCAGCTTGCTTTCTCACTTTCCTTCTTTCTCGTCTCTCTTTGGTCAACTTCAAAAAAATAAAAAATAAAATAATGATGATGAATAAGATTAAATAAAAAAATAATTCTTGGAGCCAGCAGGTGGCATGGTGGTTAAGGGTGCTGGACTCCCACAAGGCCCACTGTGGTTCGAGTCCCGAACATGGTAGTTTGGTTTCTCACTTTCTCTCTCTCTCTCTCTCTTGCTCATGCTCTCACTCTCTCTTGCCCTGTCTGGTCAAATAGATAAATAGAATTAAATAATTCTTTTTAAAAACTCTTTATTAAAAGGGGGTGCCAGCAGGTGGTATGATGGTTGAGGGCACTGGATTCCCACATGGCCAACCGTGGTTCAGTTCCCGGGCATGATGACTTGCTTTCTCCTTTTCCCTTTCTCTCCATCTCTCTCTGGTCAAATTAAAAAATAATAACAAATAAATTTAAATAAATAAATAACTTTTAAAAAAGAAAGAAAGAAAAAGAAACTGCATCAGTGGCAGCCCAAAATCCACTAAGCCCCTCTATGATTGTAAAGCCTTCTCGTAGTCCTAAGGATAGCCATAATCCTGATTTTTACAGTATTTATTTTCTTACTTTTCATTATAGTTTTATCACTTATGTTTGTAACTCTAAACGTATGGTTTAATTTTTATCTGTTTTTGAACTTTATGTTATAAATAAGAGTTACACAGTATGACTAATACCTTAGTATTGTCTTCATTGTACCCATTCAACAATAAAGAATGATCAAGATATTGGTAGAAGGATGGGAGAGAGGCAATCAAAGGAAAAAAGGAAAGAAAAAAATATTTTTGGCTTTTGCCATAGGGTGTGTATGCTTTCCAGGGAGACAGACAGTGAGAAGAAAGATAAGAAATCACCCCTGGGATGATGGCCCCCACAATCCCTTCTTTTTCATTTTTTGGACTCCTATGCACACGCACACCTGGTGTGAGTTTCAGGCCACCGGATCCAGGACTTGAACTGCAGTTGGCCATGTGGGAGTCCAGTGCCTTAACCACTACTCCACCTGCTGGCCCCAGAAGCAAAGCATTTGAGAGAGATAAAAATAGAAAATTATCCGTTGATGATAATGTGTATAGTAATATCTTTGGCTAGACTAATATCCAGTGTATTCCTGCTAGAAAAAATTTTGTATGCTATGAAGATGTACAGTAATTGAATTTTTACAAAGCAAGAAAATGAAAGAAGAAGGAAAAAAAAAAAGAATGGTCAAGTTAGGCTGAAGTGATGGGATACTGATCTGTGTTCAAGCCTGTCTTCAGTCAGATTGCGCCATTGGGATCTGTCACACGTTTGGTGCCTCTTTCTGCCTTTTAACTGCATTTTCTGCCACGCAGGGAACGGTTACAGGTCTCCGATGACAGTTATGGTGGGTGGTGAAAGGCATAGCACTTGACTTTGAGAAGAGATCTCAGTGTCTCTATAAAATATCATCTTGTAAATTTTATGGTAATTGGATTGACTTTGTTATATTTTATAAAGATTAACTCTAGACTCGAATATATGTGAATGTTAATGTATACATATAGTAGATACATATGTACACATTGATTATGTAAAAAGTAATCTAGTCGCCTAGCATGTGATTTGATTTTATAGAAATAATCCCTTTTTTTCTTTTAGGTGAAACTTCCGCCGATGATGGAAATCATAACTGCTGAGCAGCTGATGGAATATTTAGGTCAGTGTTTAAAAATAGGTGATTTTGTATCTCTTTCAAAATAAAACAAAGTTTTCAGAGCTAATTGATTACCCAGTCTCACCTTTTTGAAGTGATGTTATATAATCTATTTTTAAATTACAGTTTAAAATCTGTTACTTAAAAATTTTTATCAGTATGTTGCTATTGTTGGATATTATAACCTTCTTTCTGACCAGCGTTAAAATTCTGTAAAAGGGGGCCCATAGGTGTCTTGGTTAAGGTTACTGGACTCCCACATGGCTGACCATGGTTTGTAGTCCTGGACCTGGCAACTTGCTTTCTCTCTTCCTCTCTCTCTCTTTCTCTCTCTTTCACTCTGTCCCTCTCTGGTCAAATTATAATAAACAAGCAAACAAACAAATAAGTAAATAAAGTTATATAAAATAATTCTTTAAAAAATATTCTGTAATCAAGGGACACCCTCATAGCCTAGTGGTTAAGAGAGCCAGATTCCATGTAGAAGGCAATGTGGTATGAGTGCTGGGTAGTTTCTCAAGCCACTGGGGATGTGCACATGCCTGCCCAAAGTCCAATAGGATGGAAAGGTGGAGGAGAAAGGGTTGCAGCCTGACTACGTCTCAGTGGAGGGGGTGCTTTCTTTCTCTACCTGGAATTAAAGGTGAAGGAGGTGATTTAAAGCATTGTATGATTCATGGACCTGTGCCAGTCTACGTGATGTTAGGCAGGAGATGGGAACTTCTACCAGGTTCATTAGCAGGCACACTGTTTAGTTCATCTGAATTTTTCCTCTCTCCCTCTCTCTCTCTCTCTCTCTCCCTGTCTCTCTCTCTCTCTCTTTCAGGTTTTTGCCATAGGCCGAATGTACTTACCAGAGACAGAGAGAAGGAAAGTGAAAAATCATCCCCCCCACAATCCCTTCTCCTTCATTCTTCTCTCAGGATTTTGGGTATGCACTCACATGTGCCCAATAGGTTTCTAAGCCTCCAGGTCTGGGAGCCAAACCGTGGTTACCTATGTGTGAGTCCAGTGCCTTGCTACCATGCCACCTGCTGGCTCCGGAAATTCTTTCTTTTTACAGCAAAATTTTCTTGATAAAGAATGTACTGGGAGGGGCTGGCAGGTGGCGTGGTGGTTAAAGGCACTGGATTCCCACATGGCCAACTGCAGTTCGAGTCCCAGACCTGGTGGCTTGCTTTCTTGCTTTCTCTTTCTCTGTCTCTCTCTAGTCAAATTTAAAAATAATAACAAATGGAATTAAATAAATAAATATTTTTTTTAAAAAAAGAATTTACTGTGGAGCCAGAAGGTGGCATAGTGGTTGAGATGCTAAACTGCTACATGGTCAGCCACGGTTCAACTCCTAGACCCAGCTCGCATTCTCACTTTTTCTCTCTCTTTTTGTATTGCTCTAGTGAGCACATGTGCCCTATAGCAATGTGAATAATGATAAATAAAATGAAATAATTATTTAAAAATAAAGAATTATTGAATTACATTCATTCTTTGTAGGGCACACATTCTTGCCAAAGAGAGACAGAAAGAACAAGGAAGAGGGAAAATGAGAAAGCATCCCTCACAGGATACGACCACCACTGTAGTCCCTTCTCCTCCACACCTCTAGAGATTTGGGGCATGTTTGCGCAAGCAACCAGCTTGTTTTTTTAGGCTACTGGATCCAAACTAAAACTGCACAATCAGTCATGTGGAATCCTGCTACCTTAACCACCATGTCACCACCACCAGTTGACCCCTTGAATTACATTCTTAAACAAGCTTCTTAGTTCAAAACAGACTAGTAATACAGTTTGTGGATCAGCTACAAAGAATCAACTTGTTTAGAAGGCAGGCAGTTGTACAACACACTCACCTTTTACAATTGGGTAAATAATTTATGCTATTACAAAATAGGAATCCATATTCTTACTTTCTTCTTTTCGAATTTTTTGCCATAGAGTGTGTATGTTCACTGGAGGGAGACAGAGACACATGGTGAAAGATAAAGTGAAAAATCGTCAGCTAGGGGGCTGGCCATGCCACAATCCCTTCTCCTCCATTCTTCTCTGGGATTTTGGGCATGCATACATGTGTGCCTGGTGTGAGTTTCAAGTTGCCAAGTCCAGGACTTGAGTCGTGTTTGGCCATGTGGGAATCCAGTGCCTTAACCATTAAGCCATCTGCTTGCCCCTTTATTCTTAATTTTTTTATGTAATAACATTTTTCTTTAAAAAAATCCAGGTGGCATGGTGGTTAAGGGAGTTGGACTCCCAAATGGAGGATTGTGGTTCAAGTCCCAGACCTGGCATTTGCTTTCTTTCTCTCTCTCTCTCTCTCTCTCACTCTGTCCCTCTTTGATAAAATTTAAACTAACAAACAAATCAAATTAAATAAAAGAATTCTTTAAAAAAATCTTGTCACAGGACCAGCAGATGGCATAGCAGTTATATCGCTGGGCTCCCACATGGCTGACTATGGTTCAAGACCCAGTCCCAGTGACTTCAAACTCATACCAAGCATGTGTGTGTGTGTGCCCAATATCTTGGGAGGAGAATGGAGAAGGAATTGCGGCGTGGCCACCCCTTCTTGGGGATGATTTCTCACTTTCCCTCTCACTGTCTCTGTCTCTTTATCTTTCTGGCGAACGCATATGCCCTAAGACAAAAAACCTTCTACCAAAAAAAAAAATTCTTGTCAGATGATTGCTTTGTCTCTGCCATTTCATAAACCTTAGAGGGGTAAGAGCAGAAGCAAAGAGACCAGTTAGGAAGCTATTAACAACTAGTAAAAGTTAGTGCTGGCTCCACAAGATCAGAGAAGTGGGGCTTGTAAGAAGTGGACAGATACAGAGTTGACAGCATTTGCTGATCAGCTGGATGTGGGGTGACAGCGGAGTCGATGGTAATCCTTTGATTTTTGGTTTAAACTGGAAGGGTGAAGAGTCCCTCAACAGAAATAGGGCAAAATGGAAAGAGCAGGCTTAGGGAGGAACATCAGGATTTTGGTATTGAAGTGTTTATTGATATCCAAATAAAGATATCAGAAAGGAACTTGCTACTGACTGGGCAACCAAGCTGGACACATGCAGATAACTTTTAAAAGCTGGACTGCAAATGGATGTAAGAAGTGGGTGAGAGGGACCAGCAGTTAGCGTAATGGCTATGTCGCTGGACTTCCATGTAGTGCCCGGCATGAGACCCGGACCCAGTGGCTTAAAACTCATGCCGGGCACATGTGCGTGCTTGCCAGACAGACAGAGACAGAGAGATCCCGAGAGGAGAATGGAGGAGAAGGGATTGTGGCGTGGCCATTGATTTCTTGCTTTCTATCTCTCTGTCTCTGTTTTTCTGGTGAGTGCACACACCCTATAGCAAAAAAAAAAAAAAATTCAGGGTTTTTTACATTTACTGTGAATATTTTCTTGACCCACCACATCATGATTTATCCTTCCCATGTTCTGGAAAAGAGAAAATGTGCTACTCTTGTTTGTTAAATGTTTATTAATGTAAGGTAAGGTATAGTATTCTCTATGTTGTTTGATTTTTTTCTGACTATTTTCTATATCAGTTGATGACAGGAGGTGCTAGATATTTCAACTATGAGGTTATGATTGTATATTTACCCCTTTAGTTCTGTTTTTCCTTCAAATATTTTGAAGTTCTGTTATTAGGTGCATATACATTTGTGATTTTTATATCTTTTCAATGTTTTGTCTCTTTTTATAATGGGGGTTTTTTTTCATCTCTGGTAATATTCTTTAAAGTATTTTTTAGTATTAATATACTTATGCTGATTTTTTTCCACTCACCATTTTCATATTTACTCATAAATTATTGGTTTATATCTTAAAGCACATTTATAGAAAACTTATAGTTGAATTTTACTATTTCATACAGTCTGATAATCTGATGGGTTTTTTTTGCTTTTTTTCTAAGAATTATTTTCTTTCATTCTCTCTCTCTCCCTCTCTCTTTCTTTCTTTCTCTTACTTTTTAAATTTGACCAGAGAGAGAGAGAGAAAGGGGAAGTGAGAAAGGAAGCTGCCAGGTCTGGGATTTGAGCCATTGTCTGCCATATGGGAGTTCAGTGTCTTAACCACCATGCCCCAATCTCTGATTTTTTAAATAAAAATTCTATTATTTTACATACAGTTTAATCCATTTACTTAGTTATATTTAAGTCTACTATTGGCTATTTTAAAATTTTTCTTCAGTTTTTTGTTTATTTTGCTTTTTTTTAGATTTTTTTTTTTTTTTTTTTTTTTTTTTTTTGGGGTCAGAGGGCATGTGTGTGTTGTATGTGCGTGCACGCATGAGATAAAATACCCCCTCCCCATGCAATAGAGAGAGAGAGAGAATCCCTTCTCTTTCATTTTTCCATACCATCTGGGTTTTAGGCATCCAAGTACATGTGCCTGGTGTGTTTTTCAAGCTGCTGGCTGGCCTTGTAGGATCTACTCCTTTAAGCATTAGGGTATGGGCTGGTCCAAATTCGACATCTTTATATACCTGATATAAGTAGAATCATAGTTTTTTTGTTCTGTGACTGGCTTATTTCTCTTAGCATAATATCCTCTAGATTAATTCATGTCATAGCATGTATTAGAATTTCTACTCTTTATGACTGAATAATATTTCATTATATGTACACATATACCACATTTTCATCCATCAATGAATATGTAGGTTGCTTCCACATCTTGGTTATTGCATAATGCTACAGTGAACATGGAAGTGCAGGTATCTTTTTGGGATCCCAATTTCAACTTTTTTTCCTTTAATTTGCTACAGGGTACATACACTTGCCTGAGAGAGAGAGAAAAAAAGAGAGAGAGAGGAAGGGAGGGAGGAGGGAGGGAGGGAGAGATAAAGCACCCACCAATGGAGGATGGTCACTCTGCAATCCCTTCTCTTCCACCTTTCCTTCCTTTTGGGATTTTGGGCACATATGAACATATGCTTGGCTTGTTTCTCAAGCTACCAGGTCTGGGACTTGAACCTCGCTGTTGGCCATGTGAGATCCAG